GAAGAGGGCCGTTACGTTGGGGGGTTTGACACCGCTGATCTCGACCAGCTTTTTTCGGCTATGTCGAGTAACTGGCGTGGTTGGGTCTCCGGATTTGCGTTATTGGTTATGGGTGCGTCGGACCTGGAGTCTAAAGCTGTGAGGGAATTCAGCTCCACGTTGTTCAGCATGAGGCCAGACATTGCGTTGGCCATTGCCAAAGTGATATTTCAATCGGATTGCAGATCGATTCTGCCACGTGTCACCTGCTCCGTGCATCTTCTCTTCTCGAGGTCGGATATGGCGGTGCCCCTCACCGTTGCCCGGTACATGAGAGAGCACTTGGTCAATGCCGCAGAAGTAGAGGTGGAGGTGATGCCAACGAGGGGTCATTTGCCCCACTTGTCCACGCCGGAAATTGTTAACCCGTACTTGCTAAGGCACATTGCCATAGTGAAAAATGAGGGGGGGCAGCAGAAGGGAGGAGAGGAGGAGGAGGAGGAGGAGGAGGAGGAAGGGGGGGGATGGGAAGGAGAAGCAGCAGCAGGAGTAGGAGAAAGAGGAGCAGAAGCAGAAAAAAGTAGTGTGTTTGCAACAGCAGCACCAGCAGCAGCTGCAGGGGAGGAGGAGGAAAGGGAGGAGGAGGAGAAAGAGGAAGAGGAGGCGAGAGAGGAGCAGAGGGAGGAAAGTTTAGTACGTTTGCCACAGCGGCAGCAGCAGTAGCAGCGGCAGGAAAAGGAGTAGGAAGAGAAGGAGGGGAGAGAGATGGGGAGGAGGAGAGGCCCGAGAGGTATGACCATCATGACCGTGATGATCATGGCCGTTGAGATTGTGCTCTTCACCCGTAGAAGGGTGTTTGGCTGGACAGATAGGTTGGGTCAATCTGGGTGACAACTCGATTTGGAATCCTATCCGACAGAGATTTCCCAATTACGAAAGAATCTCTCAGCGCAGGGCTGGGCTCAAGTTCTGAGTCAGTAGATTCTATTCTGCATCTGCTTCCGATTCCCTCCTGTTTTTTTCTTTTTTCTTTTTTTTTTTTTTTTTTTTTTGGGTTCTGGCTTTTTTTTTTCGACAGTTTTTCTACTTCGACGAGGCGGGACAAAGACAGACTTAGACAGTACGCTGAGTACGGGAGACCCTTCAAATACTTCAGCAATGTCCTTCTTCACACACGCATTCATTGCCCCACGACGCTGGTGAGGGGTGCTGTTCCCTGGACCCCGTTCCCAGCACGACGACGTTGAACGTTCAGCTCCCCGAGTCCCCGAGTCCTCGGCGCCCCAATAGGCTGGAGCTTCGGTGCGGGAACAGCACCCCTCACCAGGCTCACCCTATTTCACCCACTCAGCCCCACTGATACCCAGGAGTTGGCTCTCCTAGGGCATGCAATAGGCTGGGCTCTCTTGTAAATGGGTTTGCTTTTCACGTAATTGGCAAGTTGCCACGTGCTTAGCATAGAATATTAGGGGGGGGGGGGGGGGAGGGGGGGGGAAGATTGACGCATGATTGGTAATATGATGGAAAGTGGTCTCCGTGCCACCTCAGTTAGTAGCATAGAGTTTTCTAGTACGCTAGTTTTCTAGTAAGTGTACGATTGGTCAGTCTTTGGGGTACATGGTTTTGACATAACCGCAGTCCGGGCTTTGGTTGGGCGAAGAGCCTTGGTCAGCCCGTGGACTGTGTGGCACCTTTTGTGAGGGACGCTGGGCCCGCTTCCCAGCATAATTAAGAGGTGCTTGGTTAAAAAAAAAAAAAAAAAAAAAAAAAAAAAAACCTGCTTCAATCGGGCACAGTTTGGTGCAGGGAAAAAAAAACAAAAAAAAAAATGGTGGCCGGAAGAGGATAGAAGAAGAGAAGAAGAAGGGATTTGGAAAAGGAAGGAAGGGAGAAATGATTAGGGAGAAAGGAAGGATGAGGAGATGGTTTTTCCACCACCCAGGGAGATGGGAACTTGGGAAGGACTACCTTCTTCCCACCGAATACAACGCCCGGTCATTATAGCTGTATTTATTTCGGGCATCTTTCAGTCTTAATACAGCTATAATGCCCGTGCGTTGTATTTGGCCGAAGAAGTTCGGATATTGGGCTTTGCTCCACTACGCGCCAAAAAAATATGCAAAATATTAATATGCAGAATGACAATGAATCTTCCTATAGAACATGGGAAGATGCAACGCCATATTTTTTCGTTTTTTGTGCAATGCCATGTGGAGAGTAATGGAGCGACGCCGATTGTTTTTTCCACCACCCTCGTCATTCCCACCATCTCTGATGGCAAACCGTGCTCTTTCTTTTTTTGTTTCTCGACTTTGTTCCCCGAGTTTTTTTCTCGACCCTTTTTCCCCTATTTTTTTTTTCTGACTTCTTTTTCCCCACTTTTTTCTCCCACTTTTTTTTTCGACTTTTCTTTTCTTTCCCTGAATCGTTTGTGTCACCCTTGAAAGGGCAGAGGGAAAGTGAGGGTATGTTTCCTTTTTCGTTTTCCTTCTTTTTTCCTTCTTTTTTCCTTCTTTTTTCCTTTTTTCCCCTTTTTTTCCCTTTTTTCCCTTTTTTTCCCTTTCTTTTCCCTTTTTTTTCCCTTTTTTTATTCTTTTTTTTTTTAAGAGTGGGTATGCCTTACGTAGGGCCGCGACAGGAGGCTTGGTTGAGGTGCCGTCTTCCCCAGAACACACCCGGTCCGTACCCTGATAATGAATGTATACAAGCTATCTTTCCGGTCCGGTGCAGGCCAAATGAGGGTGCGTTGTTTTCAGGGGAAGACGGCAGTCGTAGTGTCGATGACAAGGGAGATGGCATTGTCTGTTCGAAGTCTCGCAAAGCGAAACATAGTTACTGTAATGCTCTTTTTCTTTTTCATTTTTTCTTTAACTGCGTAATAATAATTTCAGCGAGTATGCCCTTATGATTGGCTTCTACAGTTTGAGGCTTTGCAATCTTAATGTATTACAGATATATAAATATAAATATTGCCGACTGAACGTTGAAACTCGCACGGTCGCACCATTCTCACACCTACCCCTCCCCCGGCCTCCCATAACCTATACTTCCCTCGTACCTGGATTCTTCCTTTTCTGCAACCGATTGTTCATTTTTTCTTTGATTTTTCCAGAAAGTTTTCTTTATATATATATCGTTAGAGAGAGAGAGAGAGAGAGTTTTCCATCTGGTGTGAGTGAGTGATAGTCTTGATTCTGGTTAAAGTAGATTATCATTTACAGTGTAATCAGTGAGGGGATTCAGCAGACTGTTGAGGGTTCAGCCTCCTGATGAGTCGGTGAAACTCCGACGAAACAGTTTGTCACAGCCCCTCGTTTGTTGTCCTCTTCTCTCTCTCTGCCTACGGTTTTACCGGGCAGTTCTGTTTGTGACGATGACAATATATATATATCGTTATATTCAGCCTCCTAATGATTCGCTGAGACTCCGACGAGGCAGTCTGTCACAGTCCCCACTTTCTTCTCCTTTTCTCCCTTAAAGTTTCTGCATGTGGCTCACCGTGCAGATCTCTCTCTCTCTCTCTCTCTCTCTCTGTGTGTGTGTGTGTGTGTGTGTGTCTGTGTGTGTCTGTGTGTGTGTGTGCGTGTATATATATATACACTATAGATACCCTTATGGAAGACTGTATACACAGGAAACATCATGCTGCAAGGCTCCATGGGGGGGGGGTAATGAGAAGGCCCCCCCTGGCTCCATATTTCGGGTGGGGGCGGGGGAGCTGCACCTGCCCTGGGCCAGGATTGGGGGTCCAGGGTCCTATTCCCCAGCAAATGCGCAGAGAATCAGTCTGAGATTAATTTGGCAAAGCAAGCATACTTAGGGGCCCGTAATTTCTGTTGCTTTCCTCCAGCAGGCCCTCGGGCCCCTAAAGTGGAAAGGGCTCTACGTATATTCGTCTTCATTTCCTACTCGTTGTCTCATCATCTCGTGTACGAAATCCGGCACTGCAGTTTTATCTGAGACCCTCCCTCTCCCTTTCCTTCCCCCCTTCCCCTACCTTTTTTCCTCTTACCCCCCTCCCTTCTCCCTACCTCCCCCCCCCTTCCCCTTCACTCCCGAAGAATCTGCAGAGGAGATTAGCACGGCCCCTGCGCGAGGATGACACGCATAAATCGAGATATGGTCCCCCCAAAACCAAAAAAAAAAAAAAAAAAAAAAAAAAAAAAAACTGCAGAGGCCTGACATTTGTTATTTTTTCATGATGT